CACTACATGCACGGTTAACGCCGTTGCCTTGGCCAGAAAAACCATGAGAGCGTATACACTTAGATTTCCTAGGGCCGTTCCATAATGACATGTACTTGGTCGTCGTAGATGCACACTCAAAGTAGCCGAAGGTTATTAACTTTGCGAAAAATACAAAGGCACAGGCTTTGATTATGGCGTGTGAAACTTTGGTTGCTAGATACGGCCTACCCAATCATTTAGTAACCGACAACGGACGCCAATTTGCAAGCACCGAATTTAAAAGTTATTTGCATGAACGTGGAGTCAAACAAAGTTTCTCGCCCCCATACCATCCAGCTACTAACGGGGCCGCAGAAAATTTTGTCGGCGTTTTCAAAGACAAGGTGTCTAAAATTGTTTAAGGAGGGGAAAATATAGCGTATGCGATAAATAAATTCTTATTTGATTACCGCAACACACGTTGCTAGGAAACGGAAATAATAAGTATATTTGGACGCGTGGTGGAGAAATTTTTGTTCGTAAATCCAACGGATTCGATCTTATTGTTAATGCCACTGAATCTGATCTAAACCTGCTGGACTGACTATCTGTAAGTTCCTCGTCAAAAATTTCAAATAATGATAGTGGCTTTTCACGTATAGCACACATTATCGCGAATTTTATGGGAGCACATATGGACAAGATAAAGTACGTATTAAATAAATTAAATCTTAATGTTCTAGTGATTATTGAATCATGGCTTACTCTGGCGCATGATTCTTCGCTATACTGCGAAATGACCACACGCTTAAGTCTGATACCGGTAAATCCAGCCGGATAGTGCATTCCTCAGATATCGCGTCCCTAAATGAAAACGAGTTTATGTTCCTTGAGTTATCTCCAGAAACTTCGCGGAGGTTCTTATTGGGGGTGACATACAGGCATCCCAAGGGTGCGGTGCTCACTAAACTTTTTGAAGCCTTTAGTAGGTGCTCTACGCGTTTCTCTGACGTTATTATTACAGAAAATTTAAATGTTGATATGCTAAATATGAATTACAACTCGAATCACTTTCGAGATCTTCTGGTGGATCATTTATTGCATTTGGTAGAGTTCTCAGTTACACACCACCGGGGGGGAGAGGTGCACACACTTGGATCGATCATTTTATAGTCGATTCACTAGAACTAGTTGCATCTGGTCAACACCCATCGCCATCTATAGGCAAACATGAGAATAAATATGGAGAGAATCACGTCAACTGTCCCAACGCCGCGGTGGACGGCCCGCGCGGGCGTCAAACACGACGTTTTCAACTCGTCGTTTCGGTGTCAAATAATATTTAATTAATCAATTGAAACTTGTTGTGAAGTGCAAACCGTCACGGTTAGGTGTATTTGTTTACATCCAGTCAGAGAGACGGTAGCAGACGGCGCGCTGCTGCCGCGCATGGCCCGGCTGCCGTGGCTCGCATCGTCTCGTTCGTCGTTTGAATACGTTATAAAAACGAAAAATCCCTTTTTTTTTATTGTCGATATCTACGTAAAAATGTCTCAACTTTCGGTCTAGACTATCAAAAAAATTCCAAAAGTTGAAGATCATGGAGATAAAACGTGTTTTTCAAACAAGTGCATTTTTCAAGGTTATGGGAGCAAATTTTCGAAAAACTGATGACACCACTGAAAAGCTGAGGAAAAAATACGTAAGAATATGTTTTTAGATAATTTTTTTATCAAAGTTTTGACACCGAAATGACGAGTTGAAAACGTCGTGTTCGACGCCCGCGCGGGCCATCCACCGCAGCGCTGGGACAGTTGACGTGATTCTCCCCGTATGTAATACACGCTTATGTTTATACGCGCCGAAAAGCTAGCTCAGTGTAGCCTGAGTCCCACGGACCACTCTCGGTGTGCCTATTGATGCGAGCACATGTATAATATTTCAGCACCAATAAATATCCACTAATTAGCAACAGCTATAACAGCCTTACTTCTTCTACCCGACCTACGTGCTATTGAACTTAGCAACTAAGCTATAAGTTTTTGACTAGGCGGGCGGAGCGAAGTGACCAAGGGTTATTAAGTCAGTTGTTGGGCAAGGGTAGGATAAAAGGACATAATATCACAGAAGGGGATTCAGGTATATGTAGGAATGAACAGCTTAGGGAGATGCAGACAAGATGTATATCTGGATGAATTGAAAGAAGTAAATCGTATGAGAAGCAAATTGCATCTGCAAGCTTAATTGACAGTTCACCAACTACAGAGAAAAATACAACAACGGTCCCTTTAATCGAATACTTTCTAAAACGATTCACAAAACGTCCCTCGAAGAGAATACGGGCCGAATCTAAGTCTTTTGCCAGCGTCAATCCATCTCGAAAATACTAACAAACAGAGATACGGTGTAGATAACAACTGCTCTTCAGAAAGAATACGCCAACTTCCTCCCACGTATGCATGACACCTCCATCAGACACACTTCGGGTTACGAACGGATTCAGCAGATTCACAGGCAGCCTGGTTTATATTAAGTGGATAACCTGTACAACTAAGTAAGCAGGCAACGAAGTAGTACAGATTTTAGGTGACAACTGCAGTCAATAGATATACTTCACAAATGAGGGATAGAATTCCGCAACACAAGTAAGGACGATCTGAAGAGATTTATAGCGAAGGTCTATTCAGACCGTGCAACAGTTTAAAAGAGCGTCACCACTGGCAACAGTCGGAGTCACTAGACCAGAGATAATGCATAAAAGTTAGTGCCAATTTCTCATTACTAATTCAATCGTACAAATCTATCAAGTTAGAGAACGTTTACACAAGTAATAATAAATTTCCCATTATCTGTGATAACCTTATCCATTTTTCTAAAAAGAAAAACATCACAAATAATACATAACCTCAAAGTGTATCGAAAAAAACAACGAATTGGAGAATGGAAAATTTATCATTACTTTTGTAAATTATAATCGTAACGGAAAACCTTCTTGAGCACAAGAAATGTCTCATGACTGCCTTAAACACTATTAATTATGCCAACCTTATAATCAATCCTGAGAAATCAGAGTTTTGGTGCGCCGAGATAAGGAACCTGGGGTATAAAGTCGATAAGTATGGATTAAGGAATAATCCCGATAAGCTCAAACCCATTGTTAAGTATCCAGCTCTGATAAATCTAAGACAGTTAAAACTATTTATTAGGATGGTTGAACGGTATGCCCATTTTATTAGCAACCTAGCGGAACTAAAAACGTCCCTAAGAAAATTCATGTCTAAAGATATCAAATGGAAAGATACCATCGAACAAGAGCAGGCATTCGATAAATTGGAGCAAGCTTTAACTGCGGCCCCAGTACTTGTGTGGCCTAATATCTCAAAACCGTTCGTGTTACAAACTAATGCTAGTAATTGCGAAATTGCAGGTAGACTAATACAAGAATTTAATGGAAAAGAACACTCGATTTACTACACAAGCAGAATCCTAAGTAAAGCCAAGCAGAATTATACGGCAGTAGAAAAAGAGTACTAGGTAGTATTTTGGTTGGTAGATTGCTTTAGAGAATACTTTCAGGGAAAGACCTTCACAGTAATAACTAACCATAGCAACATCTTATGGTTAAACAACCTTAAGGATCCTGTAGGAAGGTTAGCTCAATGGAATATGGCCTTGCAGATGTATGATGTGAAGTTCATTCACAAAAACGGAAAGCTACGTAAAGTTCTGGACGTTTTATCGTAGGCATACACAAAAAACGATTTGGCACTGAAACAGCCTAGGTACTAAAAAAATTTTAATTCAACCACAACTTTGAGGTATAACAGTCCTGAGCTCCACTCATTATAGGCAGAAGATTGCACTGCATACGTTCAATATAAAATTAAACGGTGAGTATAATGAAGTGCCAACCGTTAGCAACGCCAATTTCTTACAGTAAGCTCTCTACAGTTCAGACACTAGTAGTACTACTACACGTTCAGAAGCCAAAGAGAATGAGCACCCAGGCTCAAGTCATGAGACCATTTAGGCACATTGTGAGGGCTCAGCTTCTTCGTATATATAGGTACACTTTGGGCATTGAATCTGTCGCTGTTTTTATTAATACTTATAAGCATAAGTGTTGTCGTACAAGAGGGTAGCAACCCTGAAAAAACACGACATAAATACATTTAAAAGCATACAATTATGATCATACGATTACAAATTTTTATGAAGGTATGTAAAGAGCCATTTAATTGTCTAAAATTATGAGGTAAAACTATAAATGTAGTTAGATAATGTCATTCGATTCATGGCCAAGGCACACAAATTATTTCTAATTGTTTCAGTTAGGTATTGAATCCACAACACAGACCTATAATAAAACCTAAATTTAAAGGATAATAAAAATAATAAAAAACTAAAGTTTCAAAAAATGAGAAATTGTTCTGACTTCTCGATAACTAACAATGCGAGATTTGTACAGAAAAAAATCTAATGTACAAATTAACAACATTAAAGAGGCAGTAAAAAAAACACGTGTGTATTAATACGACGACGATGATAATGATAACGACAACGATAATGATATCGATAATAATGATGATCAGGATAATAATAATAATGATAATAATAATAATGATAATAATAATAATGATAATAATGATAATATTAATTATGTTCATGATAGTAAAGATGATGACAAAAATGATAATAATAATAATAATGATAAAAATGGTAATGCTGATGATGATAATGATGATAATGATGATGATGACGATGATGATAATAATGATAATAAGACTAGAAATAATAATAATAATGATAATGATATGATGGCGGTCATAAAGATGACGATGACGATAACGATGACAATGATAATGGTAACAACGACGACGATCATGATGATAATGATGACAATAATGATAATGACAATAATGATAATGACAATAATGACAATGACAAGAACAATAATGATAATAATAATATCAATAATGATAATAATAATGATAATGACAATGATAATCGTATAATGATGATGTTAGACATAGTAATAATAATAATAATCATAAAAATAATATCTTCTATAGTAATACAATTTAAAAAAAGTCGATAAGCGTCGTTGCGCTTCCTTTCCTTCTCTTGCCGCTCGTCTCTCTCACGGCTCGTATTTTTTCTTTTCTTTTTTTTTATCTACTATACGCAGTGCTTCACGCGATTTGTTTAAACTATACCTTAATTTAAAATATATGCTTATTTACAATATGTATAAACTATATACAACATTGTCTCATGTCTCTATATAGGTTTGTGAGTGCGCCCTCCTATAGAGCCACGGGGAAGGGCGCGCGTTACGCATAATTTCTATACTTATTTTAATTATTAATAATCACTAATTAGCAGTGGCTATCTGGCCAGCTGGCTTGAGTCTCTATAAGCACCATATCAAGATTTCACTAGTAAAAGTCACTACAAACCCTCGACGAATTTAGATAGCTGATCCTGCGGCGTCATGGGGGTAATGTCGTTGCCGTCTTGGCAACCAACAGCAGCGTTCGCCGCCGCAGGCGACTGATGAAGGGGCAACTGGACACCCGGATGCGGTCCAGGCTGACCACCGGCCGTCGCTTGGCTCAACTGCGAGAGCATCATCTCACTGGGGCCACCGAGCTCGTGTGCCGGCGAATGTGTGGGCGTGCCGCCCGCGTGACCTGGATGATGGTGAGGCGAAGGTACGGGGCCAGCGCGGGGCGAGGGAACGGGCTGATTTCGCGGAGACGGTACCGGACGGGGCGACGGGTTCGGTTGGGGCGATCGTATAGGAGGTGGCGAACGTACCGATTGCATCAGCTGCTGCTGCACCGAAGAGATTCCCGGAGGTCCTATTACGCCCTGGGGAGACGGGACCGGCGGTGGCGTCAGTTTAAGTCCCGGCTGTACGTAGCCCTGTTCGTTGAATCCACTGTAACCTGTGACAATGAAATCGCATTATTATTTTCATCATCTCATTCGATTGTTTCGTTACATTATTATGTTGAATTAAAAAAAAAAAGTTTCGACAAACTTACCACTGCACTTGCTTAACCACCTGGAGAACGTGAGCAGGAGGCGTCTGCGTACCGGGTTTCATGCCGATACCAGGCTGATGGTGTGGCGACGGCGGTGACGTTGGACTTATGCCTGGCTTCATCGTTACGCCCGAGGGCATCGTCATGTTCACTGGTGTCGAGCCTGTTTGCATGCTCAATTCGGAGCCTGCTGAGCGAGTATTTGTCATCACAGCCATACGTCGCCTAGAAATTTTTAAAATGTGGCCATTAAATACAATGCACTCCTTTGGAGTTACATTAGTATGACGCTTAAAGTGAAAAAGATTTTCACAATCAAGTATATTAAACGACAAACACGTAAATGGAAGCATTATATTAGTAAAGAAGATAAAAGTTATTAGGCATCAAAGAACTCAAGGATTAATAAACATTAAAACGTCGCGCGCGCATCTCAACCTTGAAGATATTTTTAGACTGTTAGTGCTAATGAAATTCTCGGTTTTGCTGGCATTCAATGATAAGTACTGGTATGCAACCAAGAAATATTTTGAATCGGTATGTTAAACTTGAAATCGCTTGAATTATTTTCTTTCTTCAAATTGATACNAATGATAATAATAATAATGCTGATGATGATAAGGATGATGATGATGCTAAAGACAATGGAGATAATGCTGACGTAAAATAAACTGCTGATAATAATGAAAGTTCTGAAGCCGAGCATGAAGATAATAATAATGCTAAGAATCATAATAATGACGTCATTCATATTAATAACTTAAATAACGTCAGTGATCCTGATATACCGTATAACGATAATGATAAAAAGATAAAAATAACAGAAACAATAATAATACAAATGATGATGAGAAACATGATAATTATGATAACGATAACAAAGATGATAATAGTAATGATGATAATAACGACCGTCATAATGATAATGACAAAAATGATTTTGCTAATGATAATTCTAATGACAGAAATAATAATGATTCTGTGAATAGTGATGATGTTATAGGTTGTGATAATGATTATTATAAAAAGGATAGCGATACATAATAGAATAGCGTTGCTCATAGTAATAACAACTCTGCTAATGATTATAATAGCTATAATTATAAGCAAATTGTTAATCATGATGATGATGATGATGATAATGATATCGATATTGATAAACATAACTTTACCGTTATTGATAATAAAAATGCCATTAATAACAGTTTTGACAATTCAAATAATGAAAATAATATTAGCAATAACAATTATTATGTTTAAATTGTTGACTATTATAACAATAATGATAATAATAATAATCGTAGTCATAAGAAAGATAATCTTAATAGTGGTGATAATTTTTATGACATAAATAATAATGATGATCAGAATAATAATAATAATAATAATGATGATGATGATAATGATGTTGATGATGGTGGAATTAACAATGATAAAGATAATAGTAATGATAATGATAATAATGATAACGATAATAATAATATAGCTGATGATAATAAGAATACTGATAATGACGCAGATAATAATAATGATAATGACAATGATAAATATTATAATAAAAATAGTAATGATAATGATTATGGTAATAAAAATGATGATAATAATGAGCATGATAATGATAGTAATGGAGAAGTTGATGATAATAATGATGATGATAATGAAGTTAATAATAATGTAAAAGATAATGATAAGGATAATTAAAAAGGTGATGATGCTGATAATGAAAATAATGATGATCATTAAAATGATGATAATGCAAATGATTCTTGTAATGATAATTATAAAGATAAAGATGTTTATAGTAATAATGATAATGATAATAAAGTATTAATAACAATGATAATGCTATTAATGATTTCAATCATGATAATAATAACAGTGATAATAAGGATGATAATAATGATGGTTATGATGACGATAATAATGAAAGTGGTAATAATAATGATAATGACTACATTGATGATGATAATGATAATGTTGTAATTAAAATGATAATAAAAGTAATGATGATGATGATAATAATGATGACGATAATTAAAATGATGATGACGATAATAATGATAATGATAATGACGATAATAATATTGGTGAAGATGGTATTAACGATGATAATAATTATTATGATGATGATGATAATGATGATAATATTAATGGTGTTGATGATAANATGATGATGATAATAATGATGACGATAATTAAAATGATGATGACGATAATAATGATAATGATAATGACGATAATAATATTGGTGAAGATGGTATTAACGATGATAATAATTATTATGATGATGATGATAATGATGATAATATTAATGGTGTTGATGATAAAAATGACGATAATGATGACGATAATAATAATAAGCATGATAATAAAGTAAAAGAAAATAACAATAATAATGACGTAAATATTATTAATTTACCTAAAAATAATAATAATTCCAATAACAATAATGATCATGATGATGATAATAATGATTATGATTATAGTAATGATAACAATGATAATAATGACAATAATAATACTGATTATGATAAAGATTTTGATAATAATAATAATAATAATAATCATTATGATAATAATGATGGTGACCCTGCCAATATTGATAATAATAAAGATAATGACGATGATAACGACGACAAAGACGATGACAATAGCGATGATAATAAAGATGACGATGTTAATGATGATCATAATAATGATAATCAGAATAGATGCGAATAGAGATGATGATAGTGATGATCAATATGATGATGATGTTGATGATAATGATAATTATAACTAAGATAATGATGATAATTATGATGGTAATGTAAAAAATATTAATAATTATAATAATAATAATTATTATAATTACGATAATGATAATAATTATAATGATGATGATGATGATGATGATGATGATGATGATGATAATACTGATAATAATAATAATACTGATGTCAATAATAATGTTAAAGATGACGAAAACGATGATTAAAACAATGATTATGATTATAATGCTGATGATGACAATAACAAGGATAATGCTAATAATAATAATGGTAAGAATAATATTGATGATAATAATTATAATAATAATTGTGTCAATAATATTGATAATGATGATAATAACGTTGATGACTCTGATGATGATGATTATAATGATAATGATAATGATGATGATGATGATGATGGTAATGATGATGATGATGATGATACTGATGATGTTAGTAATTTGAATGATGATAATAATGATAAAAATCATTATAATGATAATGATGGTGACGATGATGATAATTATAATAATAACGATTATGACGATAATGATGACGACGAAGACGAAGACAATAACAATGACGATTATAATGACGATGTTGGTCATGATAATGGATGATGATGATAATAATAATGTTAATAAAACAAATGATAATAATGATACTAATAATGACGATAACGATAATAATGCTAATAATTATGATGATGATTAAGATGATGATAATAATAATAATGATGATAATGCATATGACGGTGATGATGATAATAATGATTATGATAACGATGAACATCACAAAAACGATAACGATAACAATGTTAATAATGAGAATGTTAATGGTAATAATGAAAATGATGATAAAGATAGTGATAATAAAATTAATGATGATAATAACAACAACAATAATAATGACAATAACGATGACGATGTTGATAATGATAACAATAAAGATAATTATGATGATAAAAATTAAAATGATGATGATAATGACGACGACAACAATAAAAACAAAAACTATAACGATTAAAATAACGATATGAATGATGATAATAATAATGATGATAATCAAGATAATGGTTATAATAATGAAGATAATGATCATGGTAATAAAGATGGTGATACTGATGCTCTTAATGATTATAATGAAAATGATGATGATAATAATGCTGATGACGATAACGATAACAATGATGATAATAATGATAATCGTGACGATAATAGTAATGATAATTATAATAATAATGAAAATAATAATGATACCTATGATCATTATTATAATGTCAATAATAATCAGAATAATGATGATAATGGTAATGATGACTATGACAATATGGATAACAATGATGTTAATAACAGGTGTGATGACGATGATAATAGTGATGAAGATGATGATAATAATAATGATGATGATGGTAATAATAATAACTATTATATAGATAATGATGAAAACTATAATGTCAATGATAATGACAATGATGATGACGATGATGTTAATGATGATGTTAATAATGATTAAAATGATGATGATGATGATGATGATAAAAATGATAATAACAATAAAGATAATGATGATGATGACAATCATTATTACAATGATGATGATAATAATGATGATGACAATAACAATAACTATGACAATAATAATGACGATGAAGATGAAGATAATAAAGATAATGATAATGTCAAAGATGATAGTATAAGTAATAACGTTGATCATGACAATAGCCATGGTAATGTTAACGATGTTAGTGATAGTGATAGTGATGATGATGATGATAACAATAATGACAATGAAGATGACGATGGCAAGAAAGGATGATGATAATTATAATAATGATGATTAAAATAATGATGATAATAAATTAAAAGATATAGAAAATAATAATGTCGACAATAATTATGATAACGATAACTATACGGCTGACGACGCTGATGACAACAACGACAACAATAACAAGACCAATGACGATAACGATGATGATGATTATAATGATAAAAATGATCATAATAATAAAGATAGAGATAATAATATCAATAATAATAGAATAACAATGATAATAATGACGAAAGTGATAAATATTACGATACTTCTAATGGTGATGAAGATGATAATGATGATGATGATGAGGATGACAATAAAAATG